CTATCATTCATTTCAGATAGTCATCAAACAGACATTGTTTACTCTTTCGATTTAAAAGTGTCTTTCAAACAGGAGCAGACTCAATTCAATGGTGTTAAAAATCACACATTTGACTGCCGGTTCTAAACTTTCAGAATTTTCAGACAAATTAATTTTTCTTAAACCGTCGAAGGCAAATTCACTTTTTTCCCGTTTCAGTTCGATCCAAGTCCAGTTGCTAAGGGTCGGTCTCTATTTAACGCCGATCGTTCTATTGGTGTTATTGTGGGCTCTTTATTGGATTTATTTACGGGCAGCAGCTTATCAAAAGCGATAGAAAAATGAAAACGAGCAGAAACCGAATCTTTCCGTGGCGATTTTTTCGATTTCGAATGTTTACCCTACAATGAGGTCGATTTAACATTTCTTTATGGCGTTTTGCGTCGAAGCCTGTGCGAACTGTATTGTGGGAAGTTTTCGGTATGTGCAACATCAAAGAAACGAGGGAATTGAGAGTTTCAATGTTGTTTGAAAATAATATCACAAACATCGGGTTTGCGGTAAGTAGACTCGGTCTTCTGAGTCTGCATTAAATAACTGCAGCGCTACTTAGATGGGACATCTAATCTTTAATCGGACAATTTGATGTTGCGGATCTTCGCAAATTCGTTAAAAGCACTTGAACTTCTAAACTGATATTTAAAGCATATTAATGAAGTTATGGTCTACGCAAAGAATGGAAAGTTCAGTCAGATTAAACTTCCGAGCAGAACTTCGCATGCTTTAACCATCTTTAATAGTCTTTTAACTACAAGTTTCAAGTAACTCACAGGTTGGTTCTTCACGTTTCTTATTTCGTTCTTTAAGATTCCCTGATTCTTCAACACTTTTCAACAAATATTCATTATGTTCAATATAAATGTCCAAGGTGCTGAGGATTAAGATCAACATGTGGCATTTGATAGTTCCTTAGGTTGTTTCTCTTAACTGTTTTTCTACAGTTTAGGAATTATTTGGTATCTTTAATTCAGGTCCTTGTCCTTGGTATCGTAACAAGTATATCAGTTCAGTTTGGTTAAAGCTCGTTCAGGTTTTCATTTTCTGTAAAGTTGCGTAATTTTCATTTACGTTAGTAAGTTTTTCACGTGAGAGCCACCCAGTTTCCTTGACTGGCATCTTATTTGTTAAGTAATTTCCTTGAGCAGCTGACGGAACTGTGTGTTATCTAACAATAATTGTTATTCAGCAAGTGTTGGAAATACTCTCAAACGTTTCGACGAATGTCTAGTACAACGTGTGAATTCATTAATGTCTTATATGATTATGTAAACCTTGCAATTTCTAAAGCTGTCTGGAATAGGTTGTCCACCTGAAAAGCCTTAGCATCAGAAATCAAGAGGAGGTAAATCTGGTGATGAGGTGTGTAAGGGTTGATGACGAGACGGTCCAACAAAAATCCAACCCAATGGTCAACCTGACCTGCTCGAGTGGTGATATAATATCACCTGGTGCATTCAGATAGAACAGACGAGGCTCTGGCGTCTGCAGTCACAGCGGTAAAATCGTTAAAACGAGATAGGAGGATATAGTTAGCTCAGAAACACGCAGGACGGGAAGTCTCACTGCGTCATTTTTGCCCCAATGAAATTCAAAATTGATGACCTACACGCTACATGCTTTGTTGAGCGATCCAACAAGGGATAGGCGCCATCACATCCGAAATGGGCCACTGGAATGAAAATATGGAAGAGCTTAAATATAGCCATCTGGAATGTTCGAGGACTATTGGAAGCAGGAAAGCTGGCCATTGTGGAGAAAGAGATACGCAACCATAGTATAGTGGGTCTAGCAAAAACGCACTGGAAAGGTTTGGGTCTCTTCAAATCCAGAAATAACATCATTTTTTCCTCAGGCACTGAGGGCACATCCAGAAACAGTGTGACAATCGAAGTCAACATGATATTAGAGAAGTACATAACAGAGTAGAGAGCAGGCAGCGATGGGATCATATTGGTCAGATCTAACGCCCGTCCTGTAAATCTCAATATAGTACAAGTCTATTTTCCAACAAAAGATGCGCGAGACGAAGAGGTGGAAAATGCTATTCATAATAAGAACAGCTATTGGAGACTACCAAATCGAGAAACCCCGATGATAATTGGAGATTATAAAGCGAAAATTGGAAGGGAACTCGGAGATGAACATCTACGCAAAGTGATCGGCAAATACGGTTTGGGAGAAAGAAACACCATGGGAGAACGACTTCTGTTATTCCGCACTGAGAACAATTTTTTCATTACGAATACGGCAGGATGCTAAACTCACTACTCTTGAACATCTATGCGAAGTGGATCATGAGGAAAGCGCTCGATGACTGGCAGGGAGAATGACCATTGACGGCACTAAAATCTGCAACTTGCATTCTTAGGACTCTAATCGCTATCTCGGAAGAAGAATTGATCAATTTTATACGAGGAGTAGAAGAAACAAGCCCAACAAGAGGAGCCATCACATAACACCAAAATAAAATTGGTCAGAAACTTGGAGTTCTCAGCCTTACTATATGGAACAGAATGCTGATGCTGAGCTGTAAGAAGGACAGGACGGATAAGCGGAAGGTAGAAGCCTTCTAAATGTTTTGTTGACGTAGAATGCGGACTTGAGAAAAGACATTGTGGTAGCAGAAAAAAAGCTAAATTCGTGGTCATGTGGTAAAAAGAAATGATCTTGTGAGACTCACTTTGGAAAGGACAGTCCCTAGCAGAAGATCAAGTGGAGGGTCACATGGATCTTTTAAACGGTCTAACCGTCAAAAATACCATCCTAACTTTCAGGATGGCAGAAGATAGACAGGAGTGGAAAGCCATCACAGAAAACAATACATAAACTCTTGATGCTTAAAACTGAGCAAATGACTAAGAAGAAATCTGGTGATCTTGCAGACCATTCGATGTCTACCATTCCGCTTTTAGTCAATTCAATGCCATAAATAAATTAATTAGTTGCCGATTTTAAATTTTATGAATACATTTTGGCTACAAAGGAATGTGGAGATGTGATTTGAATTTTAAACTTCTTTTATCAATTGCCTTCCTTATGAAAAATTTGATTCCATACCAATTATTTTTACAACGCCTTTTTTCAATTATCGGGTGATTTGAGTTTAAGCTCAACTATCTATTTGTATGAGAAGTAAATCTGTTTCCATAAATATACTACTAAAAAAGGCAATACATGGCCATTCCAAAATTTTGTTGATAAAAATTGATGCGGTTAGAAGCAGAACCGCCTAAGTCACAATAGGTTCATTTAGAGAAATGAATTGTCAAAGTTTTCTTCCAGTGGAAAATTTTTTGCTTATAAATTAAGTAAGTTTATGTTATAGAACGATTCAAATTATGTATAAAAACTTAACTGCTATTGAAGAAATGAAAAACATTTTTTAAGTCCATTTTTCACAAAAAAACACTCGGGTTTTTTGCCTTTGAAATTAAACAAATTATCAAAAAATACAAACACATCAAAGCGAATAATTTTTTTGAATACTTTTTACAAAAATGAATGTTTAGCAATACAACAACTCAATTTACTCGTAATCTGACAAAAAACCATGTTAATTCATTATTATTAAAAAAATCATTATTAACTTGTTCTTCGACATTTTCAATTTTCGAACATTCAGCTGGTTTTCTGGTCGATTTTTCGATTTCTGCGGCATTGGCGCATATCGCAGGCTTTTCTAAAACTAGCAACGTTTCTAAATGCTCCCATATCTTCTTCTTCTTCATCTTCCCATTGCGTCAAAAAAATTCGTGGGCTTTAGCTGCATATGCGACTCGTCTCCATCTGTCCCTGTCCTACACAAGCTTCTTCCAGTCCCATTCTCCCAAGATGTATTGCATCCTCTCCGATATTGTCGCTCCATCTCAGCCTTGGCGTTGCAAAAGGTTTCTTTCTCACTTGGCTTTTCTCCCATATCCTCTTGATAGGACGTTCATTCGGCGATCTCTGTAAGTGTACAGCCCATCTCAGCCTTTGTGCTTTTACACTGTTTACTAAACTCGGTCTTTTGTACATGTTCTTGAGCTCCCTATTCGTCCTTATCCGATATTGACCCGTTCCCTTATCTACTGTAGGCCCAAAGTTTTTCAGCAACATCTTTTGTTCAAAGCCCCTTAGCACTAATTCATTCTGCTTTGTCATGGTCCATGTTTCCGGGCGGTACCTAATAAGTGACGATGACTGCTGAATATATCCGTATTTTAGAGTTCCTAGATATCAGTCGGGACCTAAACATCCCACACAAGGCTTAAACACATTTATTGTCCTTTTGGGTTCTTGCTTTCATTTCGCTGCTGATATCGTTATCCGAGATTATAACCACTCCTAGGTACTAAAATTGGTTTGATTGTTGGTGCTTCCCTTTTCTATATAGATATCTATTTGTCTTCCTCCTTGTCTCAGATCTGAGGTCGTTGAATCTTTGTATGTTTCTATCACTTCGTCACTTTTTCACTTCGTCACTGCATTTGTCTTAAGGCGTCTATCGGTGTCTAGGGTCCTTTCTCATTCTTCGTCAGGCCAGTGTATTCTTCTTCAGTTGCTTTCGCCTAGAACTTTTTCTGCAGCGTTGATTAATGATATCCTGTTCAGTTTCCAGTGCTTCTCTACATCCGACACCTCTTGCCTGATATTCTTCTCTAGTTATTTTTTGGTATTCGTGGCTGCTTGTTTTATCCTGGTTTGGTCTTGGACATTATTTATTTCAGACACATTTTTTACAAATTTCTTACTGCTAACTTATATACGAGCCTTAATTCTAACATCTTTAGAGTGTTTTACACTCTATGCATGCTGACATCACTGACTTAACCTACCTTAATCTACCTTAACCTACTGTGGGCACATTACCCCTAAGTTTAGACCTAAATCTAATACATCTTCTCTTGTTACCTAAACTAACTTACAGCTAGTCCTAGTCTACAATGCTAATTAACTAACCTAATTATGTACAATTGCCCTCTACCTTATTCTACTTAAAAACTTAAGCCTACTACAACCTCTCTTGCTTCCTAAATCTAACGTAAAGTAAACCTAAAAAAAACATTAAAATCTTAAAAATCCTAAAAACCTAAAAATTAGCCCATGGTCCTCGATGTGGTGCTGGAACTGGTCATCGCATGTGGTCCACGTCTTCTTCTTAGACAGTGTCCGCATGGAGAGGCCTGCGGTCACTGTGAAATTTGTTGGTGCAAGAAGCACGGACAGTGGGATTCTTGCTTTGCCGGGCATTATCCAGAAACTTTGTTGTTAAGTTCAGGAAATGCTCGAGCAGGTCTTCTGTGTTCAGGTCTCCTTGATGTGGTGCAGGATACACCTCTCCATAACTTTGGCTATCATAGGTAATAGGCTGATAGGCCTGTAGGACTTGAGCAGCTTCCTGTTAGCTCCCTTTTTGGGCACCAATACCACAATTGCCTTCTTCCAGCTGCTTGGGAAGTA